ACTGATTGCCCAGTGAATTTTTTGATATTGAACGTCCAGATGGCTCAAATCCTCAAGGATGGTGACGAATTTAGACATTATTTGAGGTCGGAAAGGTTACTTTCAAGAGATACTGAAATAGGAACGAACAGAGGCGGCTCGGTGTATTGTCCAAGGGGAAACAACTTCAGTCACATTGTGATTGATCGGGGGTATAAGTTGTTGCTACGCTGTTGGAGCCAATAGGGGCGTTTCAAGGTGCCAAGAATTATATTTACTGCCTGTATCAGCATGTGCCTTTCGAGTTGTGCCGGGGTAAAAGAGTACCTCGGCGATCCAAATACCGTGAGGTACATCCAACATTAAATAAAACCGGTCGGTCCAACAGCCTTTGGATAGCATCTGTTGACCGAAAGTTTCCTTCCTAAGCACACGGCGGATGAATATCATTATAGCTGCCGAAGTCGATTGGAAACGCAGCCAGCCACCCGTCCATTAGGTGTGGTTTGATTAGTTTCACGGGGAGACGGGAAGCTCAACGAGATGAAGGTTTTCTTAAAAAGATATTGCTATATTAAAAGCTTATAGAACAAATTCTACTAGGAAGGATACTGCCTAGAGAGATACCACCGTTCAACATTCAGTTTCTGTCAACAAAATATATGGACGGAGCGTTCTTGATTAAACAAAGCATAATCGAGCAGATTTGTAATGGAGGTTCCGAAAGAAAATATCTTAGGAACAATCGGGTAAGGGCTTTCTAACCATCTTATACAAGTCTCGGTTATGAACTCCGGTGAACTCTGGTCCCTCATCGTGATCTTTTATTCCATGAGATAAATTCCAGACTACTTAAACCTACAAGGTTGCAATGACAATGATCCAATCTCGTACATACAATCTTTATCATCCGTGACCAATCTGATGGTCTGGAAGGGAGCTGCTTGTCAAGTCTTACGGTTATTCATATGCTCTCCAGATTTTAAAACACCTAATTGGCAAATTGTTCAGGCAGTCTTCTTCCATTGACCATAAACTCCGATCAAACTGCTCAAAGTTCCTGCCAATCCAACAATACCATCATCGAAGTTAGCCAAGCCGATTGCCGAACTTGGAACTGTGAGATCGCAGAGATCTGATAAGAGTTGCATATTGATCGCAGCACGTTCCCTATACCGAGAGATTAGCAACAAGCCTGATACGCATATCTGCGAAGCTCAACCTACTTTTCGATCCTCTTACTCGTCACAACACTTTCTCCATCTTTCTTATCGATTCTTGCAGATTGTTGTCGTAGGTTATACAAAGAGTACATTCCTGACGCCGTGCTAAACAACAGTCCCATCAACCAGAATCTGTAGGCCTCCTTCTGTATCCTCTTCGTCGAAGGGCTCTTCCTAATACCCGCAGCATCCAATACCGTGAACGCATCAAAAGTTAAATAACCTGCATATCCTAATTGCCTTCCTACAGCGCAGTACTTGATTACCGGATCAAGACTTTTAGAATCCGCAGCGATGGCAGCTGCTTTTAAATGTTCGACATTCTTGCCAAAGCGCATTATTTTGCGCGCGAGTCCGAATTGTTTTTTGATGGCCTCGTAAGGCGCAATTTCACTAGGAGTTCCATTGGTGCGAAGGAGGTACCAGGCGTAAAATCTGGAAAAGTATTGAAGGGTTCGGAGGAGCTTATCGCGACCTACGGTTGTTGCGACAAATTTGAGGTAATGTGCAACGGATGGGTGGTAAACTAGAGTGTCGGCAACCATCTTGATAATTTGAGTGGTGGAATTAGGAAATAGAAGGAACGTATTGAGAAAATATGAACAGAGATGTTAGATTATGAGATTGGAAATGAAAAGGGCGTTTGAAGGTATGAGATGACGAGATAGATGGCTTGTGAAAGGGATATGGCTATCTCAATGCCTCGGTAGTATGGGGAATCCTTGGCCCGATGATTTAATAAGCCGAAGTCTAGTTTTAAGGCACTCATGACAACATCATTGCTGGTAGAAGGCGAGTCACGTTTTTTGAAACTTTATTATTAGGCTAGAATTATCATCAAGGTAGCTGGTGGACTAGTATTTACTGATAACTACCTATCTCCACGTTTTTCTTGTCATGCCGAACATTTGAATTACATCTTACTTCATCTCATCTTCTACCCCTATAAGGTTCCCCTTTTTAGGACAATTAAAGCACATTCCGAGATGCCCGAAATCGCGGAGGGTAAACTACCAGCTCATCTCCATCATCAGCTACTATGAAATGCTGACTTAAACTTACAGTTGCTCGAGCTGTGCACTATATCCGGAAAAATCTTGTTGGCAAAACATTGGCGGTCGTTAACGCTCAAGATGACGCCAATGTCTTTGGAAAGGTCGGAACAAGTGCTGCCGAATTCCAAAAGGCATTGACTGGTAAGAAGGTTGAGAGTGCTGGACAGCAAGGGAAATATTTCTGGTTGGGCCATTCTTGACGCTTCAAGAATCAATGCTAAATCGTTGTGACAGGATGATCATGTCCTCGCCACCACATCCAGTGTTCCACTTTGGCATGACGGGTATGATAATAGTTGAAGTTAACTCTTGACAAGTGCTGAACAATTCAGGATGGTTTCATATTCGAGGGCAAGGCTCTTACTATTATAGATCGAAAAATGAGGACGAAAAGGAAGTCTGGCCACCGAAGTTCTCGAAATTTTCACTGCAAACAGCTGGAGAACCAAAGGTGGAGGCTGCATTCACAGATTCACGTAGATTTTCAAGGATTCGACTAGTAAATTGTGTCGCTGAAGCCATTCGAGACACGTCCCCACTCAAAGAGAACGGTCCAGATCCTGTCATAGATAGAGACATCTTGACAGCTGAGTGGCTCGAACAAAAATTGAACAAGAAGCAGGTGCCAATAAAGGCATTATTACTTGACCAGGCGAACATCAGTGGAATTGGAAATTGGGTCGGGTCAGTGAATCTTATATTTACCCCAATCTAATTGTTCGACTCCGAACCATCCAGCCTGCCATTGTTACTTCACTGCTTATTACTCAATCTACCTTCGATGTCTCCAATCATGCTAACATCACTTGAAGCGATGAAATACTATACAATGCACGACTTCATCCTGAACAATATAGTAACACGTTTAGCTCCGAAGAGATCAAGCGATTGCATACTTCAATGATGTCTATTTGTCAAACAGCAGTAGACTTGTTGGCAGACTCGTCAAAATTTCCCGATGACTGGATGTTCAAGCATCGATGGGGAAAGGGGAAGAAAGATGGCCCAACAGCATTACCAAACGGGGAGAAAATCACCTTTCTCACAGTTGGGGGAAGAACGTCTTGTGTGGTGCCAAGTGTACAGAAGAAAACAGGTGCCGTCGCTGGTGATATGAAGAAGAGAAGTATGTCAAGTGGAAGTGAGGATGTCAAGGATGTTCCAGTAAACAAGCAAAGCCCGAGGAAGAGAAAAGTTGCCGTGGCATCCACGAAATCAGAAGAAACCGATGAAAATATCAAGAAGCGCAAGAAAGTGAAAGCCAGATCTCAAAAACCGACTCGGGTGAAAGAGGAGATTCTAGATGATAATGCGGGGCTCGTTTCCACAGAAGCAAGCAAGCTGACTAAGGGAAAGACGTCGAAATCTACCGAATCAAAAGCCACGGAAGATATTGCAATGATTCAACCGAGACGCAGATCGAGCCGTCAGGTAAAGCCTGTTGTATCCCTTTGAAATGAGGATGATGTACCATACCGAACGACTCATTTGTTCTTCAATTGTATTAAATATGTGGGGAGATATTATATCCTCATGTACGAATGTTTACCCGATTTTGTCTACTTATCTATGCCATAAATGACAGCTTACCTCGATGTTTGTTCACGAGTATCTTAAATTCGCAAGCTTAATGTGTCTGGAATGGATGGCTCCAGCTCTAGACAACAAGAATAACAAGACAAGAATTCCTCGTCTGTTGAAATGGCAAATTCATCATTTAATATTCTATTCGCTAGGGGGGTGTTGCCAATGCATTGGCATCCATCACATTACTAGTCGAGTGTGGAGTGTGAGCTTGTAGTCAGAAAGTTTCCACTCGGATGTTCGCAGGAGCCGCTGAACCCCGTACCCATAAGGAATGAGGGTTCGGGTTGGTAGGTATGCACATAAAGCTCAGCAGCGTATTCGGATTTTGGACTTGGCACTCTTAGTTGTGATTTATGAGATAAGCGTCGATAAGGCTGAATTTGACTGGACCAGGTTCAATAGATCAAATTTGAACATGAAGCATGGCCACATAATAAAGTGGATGTTGGATATTGAAAAGAAGCTAAGGAGTAAATTTCTGGGGTTTCCTGTCAGTGCCACAAATGGGTGTGAAAATAGCAAGCGAACCAAATCCTATCACTCGGAATACGGGAACTTTTCTAGCCGTCATCCATTTTATACGGTGAGTATTTAATCTCACCCCTCTTATTTTGATTCACTTACGAGACTATCCATCTTCCTAGCTATCTGCCAATCTCTCAGCCAATCTCTCAACCAATCAACACACACCAAACCTGAAGCCTCTTTCGTATATACGAGCTCGAAACGAGTTTGCCTTTCCAAAAGATTAACCATGCGGAGGTTAGCAACTTCGAAAACCTCCTAAAGTCTCCTGAGAATCCTGAGACTTTCTTCTGTTCTCCATAATTTCGTTCCTTAATATACGAAAGTACTATTTCATCCTACGTGATCATTGTCATTGGCTGTACTCGGAAGAAGCTTACTCCTCTCCGCCTGGACGGCGGATGTACAGTGGAATTGATGATTTTTTGATATCCGAGCTTTCTACGTATCACAAATTTAAAGAACTCCTATCTCACTCCTGTCATACTTTTTCGAGCAGTTTGTTACTTTACAGTGAAAGAATTTCTTCTTCACATCTCTTACACCCAGGGATATTTAATAATTTCTTCTTAATTTCTTCTTAATTTCTTAATTTTATTTAGATTTAGTGTTGATCAAACAGGAATACAGTATGGCCACTTCGGCACCTTTTGGGGTTCTACCTCAAAGTGAGGCTGTTGCCGAGAAAGTGGAGGAGGTCGTTGACGAAAAGACATACCAAAACATCGGTCATAAACGGAAAGAAAGTGATTCGGAATCCTCGACTTTGGACTCCACGAGAGAAAGGGAAGATGCCACCATTCGAACACTTGCAAGGCAAATCACACAAAAGTCGATGGAAGGGAACCACGATCATAACGTCAACCCATTCCTTGGATCAGATGACCCTAAACTCGATCCATCATCAGAAAAGTTCAGTTCTAGAGCATGGACAAAACATCTTGTCCACCTTCAATCTCGAGATCCAGAGAGATATCCCAACAGGACAGCAGGAGTCGCTTATAAGAATTTAAATGCTCATGGATTTGGTGAACCAACCGATTACCAAAAGACTTTTGGTAACTACCCACTTGAAATCATCGGTGTGGGCAAAAGGGCTCTTGGGCTCAGTAAACCTACCAAGATTCAGATTCTGAGAGACTTTGACGGACTTATCAGAAGTGGAGAAATGCTTGTCGTGCTTGGTCGACCTGGATCTGGATGTTCAACTTTACTCAAGACGATCTCTGGAGAGACTTCCGGATTCTTCGTTGATAACAGCACATACATCAACTACCAGGGAATACCAATGGAGACCATGCATAACGATTTCAGGGGGGAGTGCATATACCAAGCAGAAGTTGACGTACATTTTCCTCAATTGACTGTAGCACAGACATTAGGATTTGCGGCTAAGGCTAAAGCTCCTCGAAATCGCATACCTGGTGTTACACGGGAACAATATGCAGACCATCTTCGAGATGTCACTATGGCAACTTTTGGACTCTCGCATACTTTCAATACAAAAGTTGGTAATGATTTCATTCGAGGAGTGAGTGGTGGTGAGAGAAAACGTGTCAGTATTGCGGAAGCTGCTGTGGGTGGAAGTCCTCTTCAATGCTGGGATAATAGTACAAGAGGTTTAGATTCTGCGACTGCCTTGGAATTCGTGAAGACTCTTAGAAATTCTACCGAATTGACTGGGTCCACAGCAGTTGTAGCCATTTACCAGGCCTCTCAGTCAATCTATGATCTTTTCGATAAAGTGGCTGTACTATACGAAGGAAGGCAAATATACTTTGGTGACATTCACGCGGCGAAGACATTCTTCATCAATTTAGGGTTCGAATGCCCAGCTCGACAGACAACCGCAGACTTTTTGACTTCAATCACATCTCCAGCAGAGAGAATTGTTCGACCTGGCTTCGAAGGCAAGACTCCATACACTCCAGATGAATTTGCTGCAGTTTGGCAAAAGAGCGAGGATAGAGCACAACTACTCCGAGAGATCGATCAGTTCGATGCGGAATTCCCCATTGGCGGACAAGCCCTTGACGACTTTAAGAATTCGAGGAAGGCAGTTCAGGCCAAGGGTCAGCGTATGAAGAGCCCATATACTATTTCACTTTCTATGCAGATCAAGTTATGCGTGGAGCGTGGATTTCAAAGACTTCGGGGCGACATGTCTCTTCTCTTGACAGGTCTTATAGGTATGTTGTAGCTCATAAATATGTACTGACCCATTCACTGACATCAAATTTCAGGCCAAAGTGTGATGGCTTTAATCATTGGTAGTGTTTTCTACAATCTTTCGGACGATACCAACAGTCTGTATAGCAGAGGTGCACTCCTGTTCTTTTCTATCTTGATGGCAGCATTCCAGAGCGCACTGGAAATTCTTACTCTTTACGCGCAAAGACCAATCGTTGAGAAGCATACCAAATACGCTTTCTATCATCCAGTGGCAGAAGCTTGCGGGTCCATGTTGTGCGATATACCGAATAAAGTATTCTCGACTATCTTCTTCGATCTTGCTCTTTACTTCATGACAAACTTGCGAAGAGAGCCAGGGTATTTCTTTGTGTTCTTTCTCTTCACCTTTTTGTGCACTTTGACAATGTCTATGTACTTCCGGTCTATCGCTTCACTATCGCGAAGTTTGTCAGAGGTTCGTATTTATCCCTATGCATGTTACACTGTTCAAGGTACTGACAAAAATAGGCAATGGCACCAGCTGCCATCTTCATCCTTGCCATCGTCACTTATACTGGATTTGCGGTCCCAATCAGAGACATGCATCCATGGTTCAGGTGGATCAACTATCTTGACCCAGTTAGTTATGGATTTGAGGCTTTGATGATCAATGAATTCCATGGCCGAAAGATCCCCTGCTCGGTATTTATACCTTCCGGTGGCAACTACGCAAACGTCGGCGCGGATGAGAGAATCTGTTCCACCACTGGTGCCGCAGCTGGTGCAAATTACGTTGATGGTGATAGATATCTCGAAGTCAATTATGGTTACACCCATTCCCACCTCTGGAGGTGAGTACTGAATTTCAGACTCGTTTTCGAGACTGTAGCTAACGGTTTTGGTAGGAACCTCGGTGTCATGATTGCCTTCATGTTTTTGGGTCTCTTCATCTACTTGAGCGCAAGCGAATTCATATCTGCAAAAAAGTCCAAAGGAGAAGTCCTTCTATTCCGTCGTGGTCGCATACCTTACGTATCGAAGACATCTGATGAGGAAGCAAAGATGGATGATCGAATGACTGCTGCGACTGTCACCAGAACAAAGACGGTTCCAGATGCACCACCCAGTATTCAGAAGCAAACTGCCATATTCCATTGGGACGATGTTCATTATGATATCAAGATCAAGGGTGAGCCTAGGAAACTACTAGATGGAGTTGACGGATGGGTCAAACCTGGAACATTGACTGCTCTTATGGTAAGCTCTTTCATCATTCAATTCTCGCGTGATCTGTCTAATCGGATCCTCTTAGGGTGTCTCTGGTGCGGGAAAGACCACTCTTCTCGACGTCCTTGCCTCGCGTGTAACAATGGGAGTTGTCACGGGACAAATGCTCGTAGATGGACGACAAAGAGATATTGGTTTCCAAAGAAAGACAGGTTATGTACAGCAACAGGATCTCCACTTGGCTACATCTACTGTTAGAGAGGCACTAGCTTTCAGTGCCGTTCTTCGTCAGCCCAAAGCCACTCCACATGCCGAAAAGATTGCCTACGTTGACGAAGTTATCAAAGTTTTGGAGATGGAAGAATACGCCGATGCAATTGTCGGTGTTCCAGGTGAAGGTACATACTCGTCTCCATTTGCATTTGCTTTTTGGTATTCAGTCTCACAATTATTTCAGGTCTTAATGTCGAACAACGTAAACGCCTTACAATTGGTGTTGAGCTTGCAGCAAAACCGGCCCTTCTTCTATTCCTTGATGAACCTACTTCTGGTTTAGACTCTCAAACAGCCTGGTCCATCTGTGCGTTGCTACGTAAGCTCGCAGACAACGGTCAAGCTATTCTCTGCACAATCCATCAACCTTCCGCCATTCTTTTCCAAGAATTTGATCGTCTATTATTCTTGGCTAGAGGTGGAAGGACTGTATACTTTGGCGAAATTGGCAAGCATTCAAAAGTCTTGACTAATTATTTTGAACGTAATGGTGCTCCTCCTTGTGGAGATCTAGCTAACCCTGCAGAATGGATGCTTGACGGTAAGATTAATCTTTGCATGGCGTTATTTTGGCCTTCACTAACATTCAATATAGTCATTGGTGCCTCTCCAGGAGCCACCAATACGATCGACTGGCCTGAAACCTGGAAGAATTCTCCAGAACGTCAGCAAGTCAAGTCGCACCTCGCAGAGTTGAAGACTACACTATCTCAAAAGCAATTCGAGCATGATCCTACATCATTCAATTCATTTGCCGCAGGGTTCGGAACCCAGATGCAGGTAGTGCTTGTTCGAGTATTTCAACAATATTGGCGTACCCCTCCCTATCTTTACTCCAAAACTGCGCTCTGTCTATGTGTTGTAAGTCATCTCCTCAACTAACCCCATATGAAATCACGCGATTAATAATCAATAGGGTCTCTTCCTCGGATTTTCTTTCTATGATACCAAAACATCTCTTCAAGGAATGCAAAACCAACTTTTCGCCATCTTCATGCTGCTCACTGTCTTCGGTAACCTTGTTCAACAAATTCTACCTCACTTCGTCACCCAACGTTCCCTTTATGAAGTTCGCGAACGCCCCTCCAAAACGTACTCTTGGAAAGTCTTCATCCTCTCTAACATTATCGTTGAACTTCCATGGAATACACTTATGGCTGTCATCATTTTCGTCACATGGTACTACCCCATTGGTCTCTACCGCAACGCTGAAATGACCGATGCTGTTAATGAGCGCAGCGGTCTCATGTTCGCTTTCATCTGGGCATTCCTAATGTTCACGTCTACCTTTGCCGATTTCATTATTGCCGGCGTGGATACTGCCGAAAACGCTGGAAACATAGCCAATCTCATGTTCTCTCTCTGTCTCATTTTCTGCGGTGTCCTCGCTACTCCTACTGCTCTCCCTGGATTTTGGATTTTCATGTATCGCGTCTCACCTTTCACGTATCTCGTATCGGGAATGATGTCCACGGGTCTCGCCAATACAGAAGTGGTTTGCGATGCTATCGAATATCTTCATTTCAATCCTCCCTCTTCTCAAACATGTGGAGACTACCTTGGTCCATATATGAGCGTCGCGGGTGGATATCTGAACAATCCTGAAGCAATGACGGACTGTGAGTTCTGCAGTATCAAAGATACGAATGTGTTCTTGGCGGCAGTAAACAGTCATTACAGTGATGTGTGGAGAAACTGGGGTTTGTTATGGGTGTATATTTTATTCAATATCGCGGGCGCTATTGGTATGTATTGGTTGGTCAGAGTACCCAAGGGTGCTAGCCAGGGAGAAGATAATGAAAAGAGTGAGAAAAAGGGCTGGTTCTCAAAGAAGAAGGCAGATGCTTAGATGAGCGGTTGGCAAATGCGGGTTAGAATTGTCGTTTGGGTGGTCTATTTTCTGGGATTTTTTATTGGATGCAACGAATGCATGAAAAGAGCGATGTTTAGAAGATTAGATACCTTTCTTGTGGAAACGCATTTTATTTGCGTGGTTGAAATTTTAGAAGGGGAAGACATGATTATTATGTCGTACGTATTATTTCTTATGAGTATTTTTAATGTGTCCATTAGCTTTAGAACTAGATGAGAGTATCTGCTATTAGCAGTAGGTACCGAATGGATTATTTTATTTCTGATTTGTCTGTTTATTGTGTTGAAATTGCTAGGATGGGATATTGAAATCGAGGTGATACTTCGATGTTGAGCTCATAGATCAATCAAAGCCAGTAGTCGACATCATTGGACAGGAGAAGTCAATTCTACATGTATCTTGAGATATGTTTAGTATGGTGACATCTCTTTTTCACTATTCGGTGAGATCCTGTAGCTACCCAATTCAAATCCTTATAGCAATCATCAATCATTGAGGTAGGTGTACACTTATTGATGCTCTACTATAATGACAGGACGCAGATTACTTCATTGGGTGTTGAATCTACTAAATCCACTCCGATTGAGCAGACGTTACCTCGTCTAAGGACAAGTTTGAACATTCAAACGCGATGATCTGGAAACGATGTCATTTGCAGCTAGGTACCTGGTCGATATTGATGTTCAAACTAAAATTATTCTCTCTGAATATCATACCGGAATTCTCCCAAACAAAATGTAGATCTACATCCATACCACGGTACGATGCACATGAATCCACAATCGTGCCGGTAGAAGAGGCGACATGCATACCAATATTCATGGTCCACATCCACAACCCATACATCTCCACAGCCCCTAGAATGTCAGTTCCACCGATGAAATCAACAAAAGTACCGTACAACAAACGAGCCAAATCATTATCCAAACCACAAACAACCATAAACCCAAAAACGAAACAAACAAACGCTCACTGCAAAAAATGGACAAAATATGAAAATCCCAAAAGAATTGCCTATTACTGGAATCGAACCAATGATCTTAGCATTACAAGTGCTACGCGTTACCACTGCGCCAAACAGGCTTGGATTAGAAGTTATCTTCTAGTAGTGGATACTGACCAGGCGAGAGATTTAAGATATATACCATTAAATAGCGGAGCTGAGATATGACTGCCTATGATAATCCCGCACAGACTATTCGCAACTCCTTATTTTCATCAGTGTATCAGTCAACTAGTCAAGCTACTTCACCTCCAGAGATCTTCACTTCCCATCACCGTTTACCGATAGCTCACCGCAAGCTCGCTCAGGAAATCGATGAAGGCTTGGATTAAATTGCGCATCCATGTTGACGGGTGTAATGGTAGTATGCATGTAGGTAGGTAGGTAGGTAGGTATTCCACAATGTTTCACTTGCGAATTGACAAATAACTGTTTCACAGTCTTCAATCTAGATTTGAGAATCGCGTCCTCCGTGAGACTTTAACACTTGGTATTACTTTTCTACTCTGGTGTGTGTACAATGAATTCTGTTCGTTGACTGGACTGGTAGGGGATTGGATTTTTGTTAGAATTACTGGGTAAGGGGATGGATTTGGTAGCTTTCTACGATAGAATTGTTTAGGAAATGGCGGTTACATGCATACATACAAAATACAAAATCAAATAACTCTATAATAAAAAGCTATCAAACCAACCCGATCCATTCATATCCGTCCCCATTATCTTCCAACTCAATAGGTATCTATAACTGTGAACTCATATTTACTACCTACTTATTATATCAATTTCCCACCCCAACCTCCCACCACACACCAAACCCCCATTCTGCCAAGCGGTAAACAAACCACGTGACATTCATGACTAACAAAAAAGTTTTGTTGCACGTCTGAAAATTTGCACTGTGCAAACCATCGACATCCTTCCAAAACGGGACAAATTTTTACAAAAAGATGTCGACTGGGAATAAGAGCACTTTTGAAGAGCTTATTTCCGGTCGTGTCGGTGGCAAAATTTGAAACTTTGAGTTGAGGGTTGAGGGTGATTTTTTGAACATGCTACTAGTTATTTAAGGTAGTAAGTAATAAGTACCCATGGCCATCTACCTCAAGATACTACTAGGTAGGTACCTCCGACCTTGATATTGGCTGCAGAGTTTATTTGTGTGATAAATGAAATTGTATTTTGTGTATTAAGATTATGTCAATATAATTACTTCCATGTTGACTGATATTTGTATACCTCATACCCAGGTACTGATCAATCGAGCTACAAAATCTTATATATGTATATACATTTGAATTCGCCTCCCGTATGGATAACTACCTACCTACATATATCTACCTAGTTAGGTGTGTGGTATCTGCCAGTATACACTTTTTCCCATTCACCAAGAAATTCCCGTACGCCTTTAGATTTCTACATCTCTCAACGCCCGCTAAACTTTACAAAAAACAAACAAACCCCATGATACATTCTCAACCCAATCACCATCACCAGCACCATCACCCTCACCACCCTATAAACTCCCTACCCCTCCTCACAAACCCCCGTCCCCTCATCCAACCCACAAGTAATCATCGCATCCTCGGCCCCCCCTCCCTCCCCCCAAAACCTCGTCTCTCCTCCCCTCAGCCCCAACCTGACCCCCAATCCCCCCTCCCTATGCTCCAACAATCCCCCCACCAACGCACCCCCATGAATCCTCTCTGCCTTCCTCTGCCCGCCCGCCCCATCCTTCGTATGCAAAAACATACAACAGCACTGTTTCCCAAAAAACGCCGTTTCCGTTTCCTTGCGCGCGTATGCGCGTCCGCAGACTTTTTTATTCGCAGAGGGGTCTGCGAGGGGAAATTGACCTTCAGGGGAGATTTTTAGTAATCGTTCTAGAGGGGAAAGAGGGAGGAAACAAAACTCACTATCGGCTCGTAATTTGAAACTTCTAGCTAAGCTATCGGAAGCGAATAGTTCCGCTAGATAACTCAGATCTTCCTTTGTGGTTTTTGAAGCAGGAGCGGGAGCGGGAGTTGGGATTGCGGTGATGGAAAGGGGGATGGAGAGGGAAAAGAGGAGGGTGAGGAGGGAGGTGGTTGTTATGTGCATTTTGTGGTGTTGTAGTGAGTGATTGATAATGCGAATTTAAAAATCAACGGATTGGGGTAAGAATTCGAAGGGCCAATAGATGAATAGTGATTTAGTCGTTCTTCGAAGAGAAATGCTGAAGATATTGACAATAATCCTCAATGGAGATAGATATATCTCAATCTGTCCCTTTTCTTTTTCTTTTCCTTCTTCTTCTTCTACCCTATCCTCGTATCGATCTGTTATCAATCTTCGTATTTTCCAACTGTATGCGCAGCACGATCAATCACAGTCTAACACCAAACACCAATGCAAGTCTCGAAATCGCAACTGTTTTCTCACAGACAGACGTCGTAAAATCCTTCACGAGATTCGGATTCGAAACAACAACACAAGGCAAGATAGGAAAGATATAAAAAACAAAAGCTCACAAACGAAACAAACAGGAGGTGTACAGAAGATTAGCCCAAAGAAAAAACACGAGAAAATTATTAAATGTTCTAGATTATCTCGTAATCACCCTCGACCACCCATATAACTTGTACAAACCTCTCGTATCACCCAAACCCCAGTCAATTTTATATGCATATATATAAAAATACATCCATACCCATATATATCCACACACAGATCCCCTTCCCGAACCAAAAAAGAAAAAAAAAACCCCAAATCCAAATTCATTCCATTCCAATTTCCAATTTCCAATTTCCAATCCGAGACAAATCCCTATACATGAAATCCTAAAGAACAAAAAAATCCAATGCAAGGAACGCAACGCAACGCGGATATATATGTAAGGATCACCAAATACCTCGAGAAGGGTAGTTGCTGACCTCATCTTCATCCTCACTGCTGACATATATACATGCACGAGCTAGGATCGATAATCTTCATCTCAGATTATCAGCCCTTCCACACGGAGGTAATGGATGCATGTGAAGATCTCCTCCGACGCTTGTCGTATGTATGTAAAGAAAATATATCATATGGAATATACATGTAGCCCAGATCATAAACCATCAAACTCAAACTCAAACTCAAAGGAATAAACAAACCTGCAGACAGATCGATACCTCCATCGATCAGCGTCTTCACAAACCCTCTCAATCAACAAACTCAACCCCTATCCATATCCATATCCCAAGTAATCCACACCCCTTTCCCCTTTCCCCTTTCCCCTCCCCAAGAAAAATACAATCCCGCATGCATCATACTCTGTACATATTCAAACCCAAGCTCCTACCCATACCTCGGTACATAAACCAGAAAATCATCAAGGTAAAAAAAAAAAGATATCTCACAATCACCACCACGCAAAATAACCTACCTCATCTCTCCTCTCTTCTTTCATCTCTATCTCACACCATAAATCCGAAAGTTAAACCCTAGGTGAATACTAATCAAGAAATCCCAATTATATTTTGCCCTCCCAAAAAAAAATTGAAGACCGGGTAGGTAGGGAGGAAGTATTTATAGATCTCGCACCCAGACAATCTCATCTTACCTAAACATGATTTTAATAGATATTAGATATCCAGCCCACCCCCTACAAAAATTTCCGAGCAACCCAAATAGAAGAATATGTGATAGATAAATAGCCATCAAATCGATTAACTCTTTCCACAACCCATCAATAAATACCTACTTACGGATCCTAAGTATCAACACCCATACATATTACAACATCACAACATTCCCTTCCAAATCCGCTTTATTCTGTCTCATCCTCAACACCCACATTATCAACACCCACACTGTCAACACCCACACCTACATCAACGCCAACAATACCATCCATATCATCCATACCTAAGCCTCAATCTAACGAAGATTGCCTACCAAGTCATTCAATCACCACATCGAGATTTTACTGCGCCATCTACAGTACAACACCTCCCGTCTGGAAAGCCCATACCCCAATCCCGAAACAAAATTTCACATTAGAAAATCCCATCATCAGATACCATTTGGTTTCTGTTCTCATTTCATTTGCATATGTCTTAATATTTCCTACAAGATACTCAAGGGTATATAACTTCTTCAAAAATTCTACCCGCAATGTTCAAGTAACACCCCATCCCATCTCAATCCATTCAACCCCTTACATATGATACAATGCGAGATAGGTAGCCAGTAGATACAAATCGCCACCCGTTCTTCTCCCTACTGCTAAATTCCCACAGCATTGCTGAATCCCAACCTGTCTCATATATTTTCTATATATGTACGTCTCCATGTGATAACTCCATATGTAAACTCCATTGCCGTACCCCGATCCATGGAGTAAAAAAGATCCAAAAACGAATGTACGAATACATCAAACGCCCGCTATGCACAATTGTATGCCCTTGCCCCGTGTATATATGTACCATTACTCAAATCCGAGTATATGTGTATGCGCCCACCAATTAAATGCTTTATTTTATTTTTAACATTGACTTCATACACACATTTACTGTGTTGTTCATAAGATGGCGTTGAAGAACCCATCTTGGGTGTTGATATTCATGGAATATCCATGTCGGGTAGTTTATGCGTATTCCCAAGATATTTCGTATGCAGGTAATTCAAGACCTTGCCATGTCTCGCCGTATGGATTGGTACGTGAACCAGAGAAGAAACCATCTTGCGCTCTTTGAATGACATTAAGCCATGATGATGGTTCAGGATTTTTGCGCCACTAGAGCATTATTAGCCAAATTCTTGTCCAAAAAAACTGCAAACCTACCTGGTTGTGAATATGATATGTCCATGCGCCTCGGAAGAAATTCTCCAGGGTTCGATTTGTAGGTGGATATTTGTCCTCTTCCAATTTGTACTCGGCTTTGCTTAATGCTGCTCGATCAACAGTCACCATTTCGAGACCATTTCCCGTTGTTGCTCGTTCGGTTGCAACTTCACGCTTCTCAACTTCTGCTTCCTCAATGGACCTCATTTCCCAGACATGTTTTGATGTGGTCTCCGAGGCTAGCTTCAGTTGTGTTCCATCATAGCTTTCCCATTCATCATGATTTGGGAAAGCATTCTTTCCTTTAAACACTTGTCCGTAATCTTTGATACATGGAACTGTACATCTTCCTAACCTATCCCAGTTGAATTCAGTCCAGATCGGGTCGAAAGCGGCTGTCTCCAACATGTTGAATTCTTGATTTCGACCATCCTTTACAGCCATAACACCAATGATTCGAGGATGAAAGTTTAATCCCATTCTCACGCCACCTCGTAGAAGATAAGAGGACAAAGAAGAATTGGCCGTTAGAGACATCACCGCAGTGTTATAGTCACCAGGACTGGAATGCCCTCCCCAACGTTCTGCAAATGAATGTTCATCCCCAATGAGTAACGGTCGCATATCTCGTAGCATGATAACATCCATATCATAATAAGATCCTCCATATATGTGCAAAACAACAAATCTCATGGCATCTGAAACTGCAACCGGCAAGAATGTCATTTGCTTCTCTGTCAATATCAACCATTCCTGATCGTTTGAATCTCGGATAAGTCCATCTGCTACCAGAACCTCGCCTTTTGCGTTGGGCTTTCCTGGATTTTTGTAATATCCACGTCCATCCGTGTTATCTCCAGGTGGTAGCGGTATTCTTGAGGGAAAGTTCCACAATTTCAGAGTTATGTCCCCCCTTTCGACGAATGGAACAAACTTTTCGAAGAGAGGGTCCCGGGTCATAAACTTGTCGATTGCATTTGGGTCCCTGTCTCCATCTAGCCATATGAATAACCTTGAGCAAGGAAGATTTTGCGTGTAAAAGTAGCTTTTTATAAAAAGCTCCACTCTCCAAGTCGCAGGGCCAGTCCAGTAAGTGTGATATGGTACAATTGGCCCATTACATTGACCAGATGATGACTTTGAGTAAGCTTTCTGCGATGGGTACTGAGCCAAGGAGTTATCCCGACCATCTGAATTGAGATACTCGGCCAACTTGGGGGGCTGCTCGCTTGCTCGTTCTCCTTGTGCTGGCATGTAATAATATTCCTTCTCGCCCTCATTCATATAATTTAAACAGTCGAAAACATATGGCATTTTCTCAAATTTGTTGTATGATCCTCTGCATTCTTCCACTAATTTTGTTAGGTTCGCAACCGTATCGATGTGTGGTCGTTTTCCCAAATAGTCATCCTTTGGAGTAACCAAACTCTCTGGTCTGTTGAACCAATTTGCATGTGGATTGATCTTTTCGATATGTAGTGTTGCGGGTGGAGGGGGCACAGGTGCAGAACCATGTTCAGAAGACGATCCATGAGAGGGTTTCTTGTAGAGTTCAGATGGCGATTTTGGAAGAGCACCTCTTTCGAAGATGAGTACTGCTAGGTATAGAGTCCCATACAATGCCAGCGCTGCTAGAATGCTGTTCAAGACTCCACAGCATGATTTTGTCCAATTCCTTTTTGCCATGTTGTAGGTGAATATGTTGGTTGGTTAGAGAGTGTTCGTGCGCGTATCGATGGAAGATTTGCGTGAGATAATTGCTGGACGCAACTTGAAAGGCTTATCTCAACGGAAAGCCATGAAGAAGTGAATGGATAGCTTGACAGTTCGTAAATTGCAGAGAGCTATTTCCGAATTTTAAGCTTTGGATATTGAGAGTTGGATAGCTAGATATATATCGTGAGTTGTTGGAACAGGGTGGGCTAAGTTGAACTCCATGCCATGCGAACGGGGTACGTAAAGCACAGGCGTACTTACAAGGAGTGAAGGTGAATTATGTAAGTCAAAGATACGAAAGATTCTCTGTAGAGAAAGTATATTTAATGAAAAGGAGATGAAAAGAACAAGTGTAATATCTGTATTGAGAAATAAATTGTCGAATGAGGGAAATCAAAGGTTTTGTGACTGCATCCATAATGCCCCAGGTTGGGCTTGGTGCAGTTAAACAAGCGGAAAGGGGAGAGAAGATTAAAGATTGACTTTTCTGACTTCTCTCCCTTATTAGACCCTTAGTGAAGTTTGAGTTGAAATGTTCGATGTGTGAATCTGGAATCCAAAAGTGGACCAATGAGAGAAGATGATGATGAGTTTAGGCAGGGGTAGAAGGATTTGGGGATCCGTGCCATGCTAGAAAGTATCCATGCAACCGCTACTAGGAAGGAAGTAGGTCGATGTTCAATTATGGAGATGTTGTGAAATGTTGAATCATGAATCTTACGCGTTTTTTGGATATGGTGAGAAGAGAAGAGGCAAGTAGGGAGGGTGCAAATCTGATACAACGTGCAGAGTTGATTAAGGATGTTTGAAGATATATTACGTTTTCTATATGTGTGTACGTACTATATATGTATATATGTACTATGTATGTATATATTGTATGTGTGTGTATATACAGTATATTCATCGGTTATCCAGGTAAATGTGATTGATCGTTTGATCGTTTGACTGATTGATTGATTGATTGATTGATTGATATCTCAGCCAAGATAAACCCAATGAGTACACTGGCTCACTGGTACCGTACGCAGTAGGCTGATCAGTTTGGAATCCTTCCAGGTTAGAGCATTCTATGCGCAGCCAAGACTGCGGCACTGGTAGCGTAAGTCCTCTACACTAAATGACTAAATGGGGAATGGGGAAAATCGCAATTCTAACCAACAGGGCTGGGCGCGATACCAATCCTTCAAGGGATTGAGTGATGTACATGGACAGTCCACGGGTGTAGATGATTCTGATACATGCTTGCTTTTTGCTCATTCGTGCTTGTATGACTCTCCATGGGCTGCGCTGATCTAATAATATGTAGGTACCGTCTCCCAATGGTAGAAGAGGACAATATGATACTCGTATATTATGTATCATGTGCATTATCATATGTATGGGAACCCTTTTTTTTCAACGGCTTATATCCTCAAGATGGGGGTCCACCATCTCAATCGTCTTCCATCTTGATTCGTCGCATCGTATCTTCGAAAAATACCCGAATACACACAATTTTGGAAAATGCCTCATTGACCAATCATGGTTCAACGCAGACAGTCTTTCTTACTCTGTGGTAATTAGCATTGAATGCTAACGCTGTGTATCTCCTCCTGCTTGCACTGCCCCCCATGCAGTGCTTCAATTCCTGTCCCTTGGGAATACAACTTGAAATGTATTCCCAAGCTTGCCCAGGTGCTCTTAGCGAGCTTGCCTGTCAGCTCAATTGAGTTAGTTTCAGGTTGTTTGGTTCAGGGGATGAGGGAGTCGATGGAGATGGGGGGAAAAATGATAAGTGGATCGAGGGGTGAAATCATTGGAATGTTCTCTGTAACAAATCATCATGACAGGTACGTACCCTCGTACGTCCAGCTATCACTGCACTCACTGCACTCACTGCACTCACTGCACTCACTGCACTCACTGCACTCAGTACTTATTAGTATGTATCAGCGCGGGAGGCAATTTGCATACGTAGAAATAATTGGGCCATTTACCGACCCATCGTTTTGGGTGGTAGATACTACCAGCTAGATAGAAACATTATGAGAATCATAATAACTAATAAATTAGTAATGATTCAATTCAAAAAAGGATGATCATCAATAAATTTATTACTCCATCGGACTTAGCGCTATTTCCCCTTTGTCAGCCAAAAAAGTTTACCTAGGTAGGTATCCATTTTCAACCGGTGCAAGAAAGTCAAGCCGATAATTTTCAGTAAACGCTCTTCCATCCATTCAACCAACCTCGTGCGCAAGCTATAGATTTGGCGACCACCAAACAAGTCTATGCTGCATGTTAATGAAATTCCCCAGAGGCTTTCAAAATACAAGACGAGCCGACCTGCCTCAACAGTCTCGCTGATTGGAGACGGAGTGTCGCGCAAGGTATCTCTCAAGTTTGATATCGTGATTCTGTCTTTCCCGTCGCACTGAGAAGGTACAATTTTGGATATCGTACTTTACTCCTACATTCAACATCACAGAGTTGAAATCGTTAGAAATGCGCTTGTATGAATATGGGCACAGTATACGCACATGTCGCATATTTACACGAGTGACAACCAAGAAATGGCCAGCTCAAAAATTGAGACAATTGGCAACAGCTGCGCCGCTACAAGTGGAAAAATATGATATCGCTTGTGGTATCTCGGGACACATCACCGTTGAGTAGGTTGACAACTTATGTTTTCTATTTATCCCGTCATTGTTCTAGCCCGACCCGTGAAGCAAATACCCCCGGTATGGCATTCCAAATTATTTGAGTTAATTCACGCATCACGTGTGGAAAACGATCAAGTGTTCTATTTCCCCTGGTAACTATGCTGGCTTCGGGTGAGTTCTCGAGCAGGTTTGTTCGCCATGATGGGTGATTTATCAACGCAATGGATAGAAGTTTGTGGTGTAAATATCCACCAGATAAGCAATAGTAGGTGACGCCTTCATGCCAATCACGTAAGGGCTCTTGTATATGTTCAACATCGGTTAGTGATATATTTCCATGGCGTTTTTGAAAAATGCGATAATCAAGCTCACATTATGCATACAGAATCCGTAATGGAGTTCTCCTTCGCGATTCGCCCAAAACACCTCTGGTTATCTACTTACCACCATACCCGTCTTCTCCACTTTCATCATTCCATCCACCTTCATGGCTATTGAATTCATATCCTGTCATCAACATACCCTACCGGTGGTCTCATGACCCTAAAACTTCATTTCGCAAACAAAGATCTCATGCATTTCCCATACCACGTAAGTAAATCGATCTCAATCATGTCACCTGGCGTACAATCTCTCGGTTCTTAACCGAAAAGAGACTTCTTAAGTTATCTTGTGGCTTTTACTGACCGCTACCACAGTTCATGATACACTTCAAGCGTATAGTTGGCTATTGAAAAGTTACCTTCCCTCTCTTTTACCGGAGCCTCAACCTCTAGGTTCAACCTATTTTTACAAGAATCCAAAACCAATCCAACGACCACTTCTAATCTATGGATCATACCTTGGCGGTACTCTTGCCACCTCTCTCGCCCTCACAGAATCGTTTACCTCTTCCTTCTTGCCCACTAAGATCCATTCTCTCATAGTGCATAATGGAATCTTTGACTGGACTCCCATCTCTACCACACCTGACCCCTCAGTCTTTCACTCTGTATCCGCAGATTCGTCACAAAATCTTGCTTACAATCGCCTCTCAACATCAGACTTATACGAAAGTTCTCCCTGGACAACTTTGATCCTCCACGCCCTCAAAACTCGTCTCTTTTCATCTCCATCTCAGACCTTCGACCCCTTCGCTTCACCCATCCTCTTCTTTCGCACCGCCGGCATCGCGGTTCCACAAAGATGGCCCGTTCCTCCCCCCGCTTCTCCACCCCCCTCATCCTTCCCACCCACTGAGACATCTAGTTTTCAAAGTGCAGGTTCCATTGAAGCCGACGACTTCTCCCGCTATCCTGATCCCCAGTTTCCACACCCGGATCTCTCAAACGAGTACGCAACCGAAGAAGAAGAAGAAGAGCCACATGAGGCGCTCCTCGAATCCCGGGAATCAAATCTTATCTTCCCACCTACCAAATCATCGTTACAGATACCAAGATCGTTGTTTACTTACTCTTCTTTTCCGTTTGCTCGAGAGAAAGCATATGATATATCGCAAAACATATCACCGGATGAGGGAAATATTGAAAAAAAAGATGAAGGAGAAAAAGAAAACAATATTTTTAAACGACAAGCTCAAGAACTAACGAAACTAATGAGAAGAAGTGTAGTAATGCATGAATTGAAAGTAAGGGTTCTATGGGATGAGGATTGTGATGCGGATGAGACTGCGAAGGAGAGAGTTACCGAGATGGAGGTTGGGGATGCGGGGTGGGATGGGACGGTGGAGAGGGATACGGTGGTCAGGGAGTGGATTGATGAAGGGGGGTTGTGATTGGGGGGTGACGAGGCTAGAAGGGAGGGAGGTATATAGGTCTACAGTATGAGGTCATTGATTATCAATGAATATTACATCTGTCAAGAAGTCCTTGGTATGTTTGGCTTTTCGGAGGGTTGTTCAGTGCAGGGTTTATACTCCAGGAGTGTGGATATAATAACTTGTATGTATATGTGCTATGATTCTAGTTTACATAGCACCATTTACTAATAAATGAGTTCTATGATTGCTTTCTAGCATGCGAACCATCTATCTACCCATCTCTTTCTACCCGAATCTGTCTAATCTATTCAAACTCTATATGCAATCTATAATATCTTTCAACAATCTAATTCCTAAATCGCCGTCTCTTTATACCTATACCATCTATATCATCCACACCCTCCTAAGCAGCAACCTCTACTTCCTTCCCCTCCTCATTCTTTACCTTCTGTTGAAACCCATCTTGCTGCCACCCGCTCTCCGCTGCAGCTCTCAAATTCCTCTGTTCATCATCCGTCAGTGGTCTCTCAGTTCCCTTCCTTCTCTCTCTGCTTTCCTTCGTTTCCTGAACTGCGGCATTGGGATCGCTGGAATCAGCGGCGCGGAAATTATAGGAGCGGAATTCGGTATTGGTCCAGCCGGTTCCGACAAAGAGGGAGGAATCTTCCCACTATTTAGAAGAAGGTTAGTTTTTGAGTTTTCTGAAGGATAGATAGTCAGATAACACAAAGAAAAAAGAAACATACATCATCCGTAAAATAATGCAAAAAGCCTCCATGCGTCACAACCACAATGTTCACATCCTCCATCCCCTCCTTTTCCGCGTGCATCCCCAATTCCCTCAACCAAACGCGTGCTTCGCGCGCGCGCTTCTCAATCGCCGGCGCATTGGATGCCCATCTTCCACTCTTACTATTCCAGCCTTCGTGCACAAGCCCCAAATCCACGCTCCCGGCGAATTCCTCCGCCAGGGCGGCGGGCGCAGATCCGGTATCGCAGGGAAGAGTGGATGTTTCTTGAATTTCGGGGAGCGCGATGACTTTGATGCCGCGGGCGATGGCGCTGGGAAAGGAGTAGAGTGCCGTATACAGGGTGCGGCGCAGGGGGGAGGCAACGATGTGGGTTATTTTTTCGGGGGAGGGGAAGCTTTGCGAAAGCGTGGTGCATTGCGCTTTGCCGAGATCGGTGAGGAGGGGGTCTGGGAGGGTGTGGTTGGCGGTGCAGAGGTTGTGGAAACCTTGGGCGTGGCGCACGAAGTGGAGGGTTATGGTCATTTTGAGGGATGTGGTGGGTGTGGTGAGTTTGAAGGGTGTGTGTATGTGTGTGTTGTTGGTTTGTCGATGTTGTCTGTAGAGGAGGGAAGGAAAGAAAGAAGGATATATAAGAGAAGAAACTGAATATATATACGTAGATATGTAAATCCAATTGGCAATCAACAATTCAAATTCTCCAATTGGAAATATATACCGAGATAATTTTCTCAGAAAAGATCAAGAAAATAAAAAATGTTTGATAATCTAGTGAGTCTAGTGATGAATGTCTCTTACATGCAATTCCTTCACAACGATGCAGTTTTGTCAGAAGTTTGTGAAATTTTGGTCCGCGGACCGATGGTGGATGAAACCAATGACGTGATTAGGATTGAGGGCGTGGTGGGGTGGGAGTGGGATGGGGAAGGTTGTCCGAGGATCACGTGGGAGGGGTAAGGGATGGTCGATACTCTGGGGGTGGTGATGATCTTGATATAATTTTGTCTGTACTCTATTCAAGATGATTGTGTGGGATTTTTGGATTGTTCGCATATTTTTCAATACACACACTATTCTGGTTCAACAGCCTATACCAACCCGACGAGTTGGAGTATAAAACATTAAATCTATATCATCTTCTGAAAGTATAGATTTCGCAACCTGGATACTCAGGATGGGATACATTCGGTCATCAATCACTTCGAAAATTTGGAGCAAAGAAGACGGCTACATAAGAGTCATATCAACGAAGCTTCTCATATTATTTTTGTTTCAATGACTGTGTGGTTTATCTAGAAGCTTAGAGTCAAGTATGCTCAACGCGACCAACACTCTCGACAACAAGATTAAGCTTACTATGGCTGGAAAATTTGTATCAACAGGATCAACCTCGCTGAGATCGAGTTCAAGGATCTATAATCAAAGATCTCCATCATCCCACATACAACTCGAAGCCACAAATTTCTCCAGGGACAACAGCAACAGCTTTCGCTCGCGCAAACACTTCTTCATCAGAATAAGATTCTTCTCGACGAAGCTATGAGAGGAATATCAATTCTTAAATGGATGTGGAACTTCGAGTTGATATGCTACCGCTGGTGAAGATACGCATCATGTTCATGAATGTATTGATGGAGATTTGGGGGTGATTTTTTGGGAGTAGTGAGAGTAAGGAATGAATAGAAAAAGGAGGGAGGATGGGAGTGAATGAGGGGATGGGGATTGAGGGGAATTTAAGCAGCTTTCATGACTTTATATGTACACGAACCATCAATTTTAATTAACAAAACAAATGTCTAAATAATCTGTTTCAGTCAATTGCCCTCTATATCAGTAGCATGAACTTGTATTTCATTCGTCATTGCTTTCTACCTTGGGTAGGTACATACCATAACAATCATCTCGTCAAAAATCACAGGCGCGCATTTGTGCCATCTATGTCACATGTCATTTTCCATAGTCAACTGTTTTTAAGTAATTTAAATATCAATCTTCCATTTCGACTCAAGACATTCATCCATAACTATTTAATAACCATCATTTCTGCATAGAATCCAAACCAATCCCTATCGAGAACAATCAAGGACTGCACAAATCCCTCGCAAACAGACTCCAAATAACTACCCACCCCCATCTACCAGCCAATACCACCAATACCCAATCCCATAGCTTGTTCTTCTGGTACCAGGACAAAACGAACGCGTGGTAATTTGATGTCAGCACCACGTCTCTTATATACCTTGGCAATTTCAGTATTAGCTCCTTCGACAACTTTAGAAGCCTTCTCTCGGTATTTGGACCAGTACTCTCCATCTGAAAGACTAAATTCGAGGCGAATAAGATTTGGGAAAGCATTGTAGAGACTAGTGGCAAAGCGACGCATATCTGTGACGTCGCAAAGTCTGTAATGAGGAAAGGATAATCGTTGTACAACGTTGCCTCTCCATAAGGCAATTTGAGCAGCATAAAGATTGATATTGTCCGCGGAATCGTGGAGAAATAATGTATCGAATCGCGAGGAGAAATAATCGCAGCCAAAGTAGAATGCACAGCTTTTATCCATCATGCATGCCTTCTGCGCTTGCTTGTTAACAAGCCATAATGGTGAAGGTGAAGTTCCACGTCGACGTTTGAATAAACCAGGACCCCCTTCAGTATAAATCGTACCCTGGTTAAGACTGACTGTAAGAGTTCTCCCTCTTCTGACTGCAAATCCCCAGATCTTCATACACAACTCGTTAGGAAGGTCATCGAAACAATGGAAAATATCATACTTTGGCCTCGCCTGTTCTGCTTCATAGGCGGCTCTAAGTTGTTTGATATAGAGCTGCACCTTGAATGTGAATCGTACAGGTAGGTCTGGTAGATATCCGATATGGGTTAGAAACTCATCGGTATTCAGATTGATGGCCCGACCCCACATAGCGAGATTGTCAAGGTTGACGAAATGCCGAAAGTTTCGATTTGCGCCCATCTCTTTACACCATTCAATAGCTTCCTCTTTCGTCGGAGCGAATTTGCCAAATATTTGGAGAATGGCTCTGGTGCAATAGGCCTCATCACCCAAATTAGGATTGCCTTCCCATACGATAGGCTTGGCAGCCGACAAGACCTGCTCAGGCTCAGAAGTTTTGATGACCGTGGCTTTGGGAGATTTTTTGGTCTTGTGTTTACGTGAGATGGCCTTAGGGAATTTGGGGACTTGACTGCTTGAGATGATGTTGGAAGCTTCTGAGACTTCACCAGGAACGGTGTCGTCAATAAGCTTTTCCGGTTCCTCGTGCGGAAACTGGCAATTCTTCCGAACACAGCCATTAGGAGAATGAAAGTTTTTGCAAGCTGGCCTCTTCGTTTTAGGTGGACGTTCTGGGGAGAGCTTTGAAGATTTGGCCACAGCAACAGAGATATTTGAATTGTGATTCTTAGGTGCAAGAACTTCTCTCGTATAGCTAGCCTGTTGACCAGTGCGAACTTGCTCAAGCTTCTTCTTGGTATCGTTGGCCGCCCATTGTTCCTTAAGCTTAGACTTCGCATCGTGATCGTGAAATGATTGACAGTTATTCTTGTATCTGCATCCTTTGCGACTCAAGAAGTATTTGCAGACTTTGACTAGTGGGACTACAACGTCGGAGGTAGAGCTGGCGACTCTAACACTCGAATCTGTAACATCGGGAGTGCAGAGAGCGGCCTTAATCCGGTCAAGTCCTGCATCAGTAGCCACTGTAACGGCACTACGTTCTTGGAGTTTGACCGGAACAATTGAAATTGCCTTGTGTGACACAGCTTCTTCACTTCCAGCTATTGCCTGGGAGGCCTTTTGTGGATCTGTAATATCAGGTGTAAATTGGGCGTCTGTGGTTTGGTCAAGTTCTACGTCAGTCGCAACCGGAACAGAACTGCGCGCTTTAGATTTGACCGGAACAAGTGGAACAGCGTCATTTGATAGAGTTTCATCCCTTCCTAATACTCTCCGAGAGGCCTCGATTGGTGAATCTGTAACGTCAGATATAGGGTGAGCGGCCCTGATTCGATCAAGCCCTGCGTCGGTAACAGCTGGGACAGTGTTACGTTGTTTGGTCTTGATAGGAATGACTGAAACGACACCGTTTGGTGCAGAATCTTCAAATCCAAGTAACTTCCGTGCGGTCTTGATCTGGCGAAGGGCCCGATCAATACCAACCAGGGAAGGTTCATTTACTTTTGGAGTGGCCTCGACGAAGTCAATTTGTGGAGCATCGAGTGCAATATATGGAAGGGCTTTGCTTGACGTAGCTGAGATGTTCGCGTCGTGACGGGCTTTTTCGCGTTTGTTAAATTTGACAACTTCGGAAAGAATTTGTCGAAGTGGTTGCTCGTAAAAGCTAGAGAACGACATATTGATAAATGAGACAGACTTAGGTTATCTCCGATGTAGCAAGTAGGAAGGAAACAATATAAAAAGTAAGAACAATGATTATCGAATCTTTGAATTGTGAGATAAATTCGAAAAATTAATCCCAGAAGAATTGTAGTATCCTAGAGGAATTCGTGATAAATAAAACAGTGTAATTGAAAGGTTTGTTACTTTCAAAAGTATCGTCTTTCTTGTTGTATATCGTTGTTATAGGAGTATCTGAAGAGTTGTAGGTATGATGGAAGAAGTATGAAAATGAAGAAAGAAGTTTCAACTCCCTACTGACCCCAAGTGCACCGAGAAACCAAGCTAAGGGGGTAGACTGATACTAGGAAGAAATTCCAGTACTAGGAAGAAATTTCACGTGAGGAGTAAGATCTTCTGCAAGTTGCAAACACCTGATGAGAAGGGGGCTCCGAATTAATTTTGGCGTTTCTATTGGTTTTGAATATGGATTTATTTTGTACTTTCCAATGTAATGGCTGCCAGTTTTCGAGTTGAAGTGAATGCACTTGACCTTGACTGTCAGTAAAGTGGAATAAAATAGGACAAGTTGTGGGTCTTTCTTGAATGAAATCTCTACAAAGAGCTCTCTGAATTTGATTTGAAGAGTTTATGATATTCTATTGGTTGACCTAGTTAATATTGGATTTTCGACAAAGTTGATGTAGTTGGAATAAAGTATCGGATGAGGCTCGCTCAGACTGTGAATCAATCAATCATACAGGGTACGTACATACTCGGGACTAGTTGCCTTATTAATCCTTCTTTCAAGATTGAAAAAAAGTAAGTGAGTGAGAGGTAGCAGTAAAGTATGGATATGTAATGGGCTAGAGAAGAGATGATATGATTGAATGAATATCAAATTCCTATGGAAAGCTTATTAGATAGGTGCCAGGTGTGGTTTTTTAGGATCAGGAGTGAAAAAGGTTGTAGCCAAGAAAGGATTGTCTGTGATTCACATGTACAATCGCAGGCAAATGCGAAAGGTTGTAAAGGTCGAGGGTTTGCGTCGTATTTGTTGACTGTTGACTGATAGGCAGTAAAGTGTCAACGTCTCTGATTCCATCTTCGTTTGTATCCAGAAGGTTCAGATATTAGCTTACCCGTGATGGATTTGGTGTTGATTTCAAAATGGGAAGCTGCGAATATGGAATATGCGAGCAAAAATAAGATAGGAAGTAACTGACCAGTCATCGATCTACGTTTTCAAACTTCAACTCTTACATGCTGCCCATCTAGTAAATTCATAGATAACCATGGCCACCTAAGCTTTTCATTTCGCAGCTATCCTCAATGATAAGTGAACGTGAACCACAAAAACATTTGCATATCAGGGCCATTCAACTAGTAGCGGCGTCAGTCTCAGAATTCCTGACATTAATAGGTGTATCAAATTGAAATGCTTAAATGAATCTATTTAATCATGGAACCCTAGTCTATTTTACTATGGCAATTTTTTTTCCATTCTAAAATTCATTCTCATCGTTTCCAGCAATGATGACGTTATTGATCTTCAATACCATACGGCAAAGTTGAGTGGCCAACATCAATTGTTGCTTCTTGCCGATCAATGGATCGATAACGAAAGCATCTCTCATGTCATTGCTACCAGTTTGCATACAATCAACACCCAATCTTGTGTTCTTCTCGGTGGCTTGTCTACTCTTGACAGAGGCAAGGGTTTCGATGGATGAAAGACCGGAGTTTTCTGCTAAAGCCATTGGGATAGCGTCGAGGGCATCGGCAAAAGCGCGCATGGCGTATTGCTCAAGACCAGGTGACTTAACAGCGGCATCCTCAACAGCTAATGAGCATGCGATTTCTGCAGCACCACCACCATAAACAACTCTGTTGTCTCTAACGAGGTTACGAACAACACATAAAGCATCGTGGAGGGAGCGTTTCGCCTCATCAATGATCTGTTTAACCGATTAGTAACGATGTAGATATCGAATTCTCACACAACATACCATCTTGTTACTTCCTCTAACAAAGACTGTAACGGCACGAGTGTTTGCACACTCTTCGATGACCAACATCTTCTCCCTGGTGGTACCAAAGCTCATCTCTCTGACTAGTCCAGCTCTTCCGAGTTTCTCAGCTGATAAATCTTCAAATCTTGGTACGATTCTACCGTTTGTTGCAATGGCGATTAATTCTATCTCTGGTCCTCCAACCCATCGCACGGCTGGTAATTGACTTTGTAATAAAAGATGGTTTGCCTCATCATCAAATCCCCACTGACAGATAACAAGATTGGCACCAGTATCCTTGATTTGCTGAACCATCTCGGTAAACTTGTCCTTTTCGTATGTTTGTAGTTTCTTAAATTCTTCAACAGAGGTAATGTCGAGCTTATGCTTGGTTTTTGGCTTGGGTGGTTCAAATGCACATGTGAGAATAGCAATCTTGGCGTCTCGAACCTCATCAGGCATTTGAGGGTGTGAGAAGTCCTTGTCGACAATCACACCTTGAACTAGTAAAGAATCCTCGAGAGATCCACCGACCTTACCATCAACCTTGATCAAGTCAAAGTCAACATCCTTGCGCTCCAAATCAGCAACAGATAAGATAGCATCAACGGCAATGTTGGCAAATTGGTCGTGGGCCTTGGAGACGATTTTACTTCCCAAACTTGTCCTTGCAACCTTGACTAAATTCTCTTTTTGTGTTTTTGTGAATTCGATAGTATCGGCAATTCTATCCAGCTCCGCAACAGCAATATCACAAGCTTGGTCGTAGCCATCAGCTATACGAATGGGATGGATTCCCTTGTCAATAAGTTCGGCAGCTTGTTCTAACAAGGCACCGGCCAAAACTACCACACCAGTTGTGCCGTCACCGATTTCGTCATCTTGAGATTTTGAGAGTTCAACTAAAAGCTTTGCAACATGGTTCTGAATCTCCATCTGTCCCAAAATGGTGGCACCGTCGTTCGTGACTGTAATATCACCATCTGGAGAAATAAGGATCTTATCTAGTCCTCGGGGACCAAGGGAGGTTTTGACAATATTGGCTACCGTCCTCGCTGCGAGAATATGTGATTTGACTGCCTCGTTTCCATGTTGTCTCTTCTTCTTTCCTTGACTATAACTTCATCAGTACTTGCACTTTCGGTGGGAAAGAGTTAAATCCTTACTCTCTAACAACGATGAAAGGTCTGCCTTGCTCATCCTTGATCACAGAAGCTATAAATTTCTTGTAAGCTTCCAGGGCGATTTGGTGGTGTGTACAGATACAACTTACCCTGTGACATATCAATATCTGCATAGCGGGGTGGTTAGCAGAAGCTCTTAGAGACATACGCTCGGTGAGAGCAGGTAAAAACTTACTCATCGCCATATTTGAAGATGTGCGAGGTTTCCTATATCAAAAGAGTACTGAAACAAACTGCAGAGGTATCGAACGAACCAAACAAAAAGCAGAATATTTGGACAAACTTCTTCCCTGACCAGCGCGTTCAAATCGACAGTCGCGTTTATTGAAAGCCCTTCGTCTGCCAAAAATTATTTAGACAGCCTCAGGTTACACATCATCAGCCACGATTATTAAGTGACCCCGCATCAGCCACAGTATCTTAATATCTCCAGCTTGCAGGTGAACTTACCAAGGTTATTCATAGCCTCCCGATGCGATAAACTTTTTGCTTTCCAATATCATCAATATGACATTAATATATATTCTGACACCCAATCTCACATCTGGTATGTATCATGAATTCGCAACCTTTTCAACGAACCTAAAGAATGAACCTAAAGCATCAATCTATAGCATAAACCCCTTTCTCTTTCACTTCATTTTCAACAATTCACAATATATTTTCCATTCAAAGATATTACCTACCGACCTACCGACCTACCTAGTATACAGCACATTGGCGATACGTGTTTTATACTACACTCACATTTCATCGTGCTTGTGCTAATTTACTTCAAAATAAGATCTTGTTGCGGAGTCTCAGGGACTCTCGAAGGCCATTAACATCCCTCCACAACTTGGTCTACCGCTTTTAATCTCGGAAAATATATCAGACACTCGCAAGGAAACCTTAATTTGCTGGTTCTTTCGATCTCCTTATTGGGTAATAGCAGCGAAAGTAGAAATTCTTTTGACTTTCGAAATGCTCTCAAGAAACTATGAACATCTTTGTGAAAAGAATATCAATAAAACTTCACATTTTTGACACTGCTATTAATACTCTAGATGAGAATTTTGTGGAACAGCTCTCGGACTTTTCACATTCGTACATCTACCGATATTTATATGAGAAAGCCCACAGTCAACTTCCTTCCCTCAGTCTTGAGCAGATGATCGAAGCGGGGAAAACAGATTAGATATTGCTCTCTTTGGAAGAAACAAGAGATGCCGTCTGATAATTTGACCCAGAGGGCTGTCAATAATGTTATGGTTCGTACATATTCAATGCTACACAGGGTATAAACAGGTCTACGCGTCGGAAGTATATACACGAAACATGGCTGTCGAATGACAACTACTCCTTTTTGTTGGGATGGAAACTTTACAACTTACGCCACCAATTATGTACCTCTATGAACTTGTCAAACTAATTTTTAATGCTGTTTGATTGATCTTATATCGAAGGAATCCCCCCTTCCTCACGCAGGCAAGTTACACAACATATCTTCTATCCTGACATACTTTTGCAATGAAGAAGATTTATATAAAAGCAGCAACACTTTAACAAACAAAAAACCCTAGGAACTTGTGTCGTACCTGCATTCAGGGGAACACTAAGAACCAGAATCTAATCGCCTTGCTACCAGAAGAGGTAAGCAAGCCATGGCATTTAACCGCTTTTTGGCGGGCCATAGTTTCAAATATATTCAAAAATTAGTACCACATTTCCCCTCGGATATATGAAATCGTCGGCAGGAACATTCTTTTAATCCCACATTCAAACAACTAGTGTTGTTCAATCTAAATATTACTTTAATTGGCTACATCAGAGTGATTTTGACTTCATCAACATGGATTTCCATGATCCTCATCTTGCTCATCTCTTTGATCGTGCCCAGGTGCATCGTCCCTTTGATTCCCCACCCCAACTTCTCGATTGATTCCTTATGCAGGAACAGCATAACATGGACATGGCATATACTCGAGCGAGTAAAAAGTACATGGTAGACCGATTCGGTACATATAGGCAAGTGTAGTTCCAGATCTTTCAATGTTTCTTGAAGCTCTCCATCTTTGACTTCTCTTTTTTATTCTAAACGCGGATTTGTCTGCCTTTCACTCTTTTGGAGTTCTACTTCCATTTTTGAATTTTTACCATTATCCATTCATTCATTTTCCAATCATTCCGTTTCAAATTGTTCGCAAAATGCAATTCAGCACATTATCAGCCCTCGCGGCAATTGTCCTCCCAGCTTTAGTATCAGCACAATTGACTGGTTCAGTTGGCCCCTTGACTTCAAGGGAATCTAAAGCCACAAAAATTTGTAGCGTTTTGGATTATGGTGGAAAGGCAAGCAAGACTTCAGATATCGGCCCGGCGCTTACTTCTGCATTCGCTGCTTGCAAGACTGGTGGAACAGGTACACAGTTCAAGATCCATTTCCACCTACTGAAAGCTTATTTTTGAATAGTTTATGTCCCACCTGGAGATTATGGTATGAGTACTTGGATTACACTCAGCGGAGGTTCGGCATGGGCACTTAAGCTTGATGGTATCATTTATCGTGTTGGTAACGATGATGGAAATATGATCATGATCAAACACACTACCGATTTCGAGATGTACAGTAGTACCTCTGCAGGTGCTATTCAAGGTTATGGTTATGAATTTCACAAAGACTCGACTTATGGTCCACGTCTCCTCCGATTTTACGATGCTAAAAACTTCTCCATCCACGACATTGCTTTAGTCGATGCTCCTGCATTCCATTTCTCTATTGATACTTGCGAGAGTGGAGAGGTATACAACATGATCATTCGTGGTGGTGACGAGGGTGGTCTTGATGGTATTGATGTTTGGGGAACAAACATCTGGATTCATGATGTTGAAGTTACTAACAAGGATGAGTGTATTACTGTCAAGGTGAGTTTTCTTGCAATGAAGCTTTCCTCAAATACCTAATCACGTTATAGAATCCTTCCGATCACCTTCTCATTGAAGATATCTACTGTAACAGTTCAGGAGGCTGTGGTATGGGATCTCTCGGAGCGGACACTGCCATCTCCCACGTCATCTACAACAATATTTACACTTATGGATCTAACCAAATGTACATGATCAAATCAAACGGTGGTAGCGGAACCGTTTCCGACTGTCAATTCAACAACTTCATTGGTCGCTCCAACGCCTACAGTTTGAACATTAACGCAGCCTGGACTCAAGCAAGCAAAGCTGCCGGTAATGGAGTCATCTATGAGAACCTCTCCTTCAACAACTGGAAGGGAACGTGTGAGAGCGCCACTGCACGTGGCCCAATCAACCTCCTCTGCTCATCCACCGCTCCATGCACAAACATCACCATCACTGACTTTGCTATCGGAGCCGATTCCGGCAGCACCGGAATATACGTCTGCCAAAATGCTTACGGTTCAGGAGGATGTCTTAAAGCCGACACTGATTCCCCATCCGCTTACACTACAACTCAATCTTGGTCCTCTATGCCAACTGGCTACGAAGCCTCTACCATGGCCCAAGACCTAGCTACTCCTTTCGCCGTGAGCGTAAGCATTCCTATCCCAACCGTCCCAACCTCTTTCTTCCCAGGTAGAACTCCTGTCTCCGCTCTCATGGCCAATGGCGGTGGATCTTCGGTTAAAGCCTCCGCATCCCACGGAGCAATCACCACCTCTTCAAAAGTCGCAGTAGCTACCTCAACCCCCGTTGCTTCCTCCTCAAAGGTCGCTGCTACGTCCAGCAAGGCCTCTTCCACAGCAGTGGTTGCTAACAGCAAAGCTTCTTCTTCAGCTGCTGCCGTTTCCACCAGTAAAACCACTCTTGTCACCCAAAAATCTAGCTCTACTCTTGCTACTTCTTCTAAACCAGCTACTACAACCGCTGCTTCATCTTCTGGCTCAGTCCCTTTGTATGGTAACTGCGCCGGAGGAAAGTCTTGCTCTGCCGGTACGTGTGTGAAGCAGAATGACTATTATTCTCAGTGCCTTTCTACATAGACTGACTAACAGTGCGATAGATGGTGGGCTAGGAGGTGAAGTTTCTTCAACCGATGTTGCTAGCTCTGTTGCTCCTGTTGCAACTGATGCAGGTGAAGAGGAAGATGATGAGTGTGAAATTTAGACGTCTAGACGTCATCCTGAATATGGGGACGTATGCGAAGAAAGCATATATATAAGAAGTGGATAGATTCATTGTATCATAGTTAGAACAGTATCTTTATTGTAAATATTGGAATGAAGAAAACACTTCCTACAGCCCTGTTGAATGGGGTGGAGGTTGATTGAATTTTATTTGTTTTGTTTTTTTGTGGATGATGAGGTTTGATATGAGTACAATATTTTTTATTTTTCTGTGCTGTTCTTGATCTTGGTTCCCTTGTTCGGAGGCTTAAGTAAATCTTCTTCCAACATCCCTTTCCACTCCTCTGCGTCCGCTATTTCGGCTATCTTTTCTATCTCAGCATACAATCAATTTTCATGAACCTACCACTCCCCGTATTTTCTCAAGTTCTCAATCTCTGAATCTCTATTCCATATACTTACTCCATATTCCAGGTAAGGTAATATTTCTTTCTCTCCAAGTCTCCATGGGCAGGAAAGGATACAAAAAGCAGTACTTCCGGCGACAAAACTACTTTCTCGCTTTGGTAGCTCAGGTCTCAAGATTCGAAGGAGTGAAAAATTCAAGTACTTTATGCATGTTAGAAACTTCTCTGCATATAGCAGAGAAACAACGTTGAAATGTTGAATAGTGCTGAGCATAGCTCTAGTTCCCCACGTATCTTTCTCCCCAAACAATAGCATCAAAGATGATCTTTCCTCTCCCATTTTCCCCTCCCCCATATCCCCTACGAAATCTCAAGAGGGGGTTTCTCATTCACTTTCTCCCCTTTTCCCTCTATTTTCCTCTGATCCTTGATTATTCCTTCATCTTCCCTCTCCACATCTTTCCTTTCCACCATCCGATAAACAAACGCTTCACAACCCGCAAACATCGTATACAAAATCAAAACATAAAACACAGCCCGCAGCACCGAAACATCGCACTTATGCATAATAGCAGGTGTTAGGAAACCCGACGTACCCATCAGCAAACCGGTGCGGAATGCACGGCGAGTTGGGAGAGAGAAATGTGTGAGTAGAGACATTGTGTTGAACTGCGAGATATTTGTGTATGGAATTGTTGAAGAGGAGTGTGAGGATGTAGATAGAGAATAGGAAAAGAACGAGAAAAAGAACGAAGATGTAATCTTTGCAGATGAGAGGATTCCCTTGGCTCTTTGAATGTCAGCCCTGCTGTGGCGTATGGCTTGCATATGTATGTACGTCAGCTTACCATACCAGAGGTTCCATCCATCCCATACAGAACTTCCAAACCAGCATTTTCCGATGCGATCAATCAATTCCAGGGAAAAACTTTGCATCACATATGTACACAGCAGTAGAAATTTTCAATAAAAATATCCCCCTCATTATTCCCCTCAACACCAACAGAATGCACAATAGATTTTCAAAGATTCCCATCCCGCGTTTTGACGACAAAGAGAAGTAGTAATGGGAGTGCGAAAAGCGCATCACACTCAAAACTCGGAGATATTGGAAATTCACGCTATACCTTCCCGCCACCTGTACCGAGTTAGTGTGTGGACGGATGTGATTATGATGTAGAGATCCTCGGGGCTTAAAGAGAGGCTGTGGGAGAACATTAATTTGGTGAGAAATATCGTGATGACTAGGTATTGATAGTAAGGTGTTGACAAAGAAGAAAGAGGACAAGAGTGGTATTATGATAATCAGGGAGAGAGACGGGGAGGTCGTTTCAACTTACTTTGATGCTAGCGGATTCAAAATTAGGAGAAGAGATGTCTCAAGTTGTTTGATGAGATATTGTGAAAAAGCATGATGCTATATAAATTCTACTAATTTACACCAACTATTCACTGATACCATACCATTACACCTTTCCAAGCCTATAGTGGCAAGAATCATATCATTATGAAATACCTATGTATATCATGTAACTTAAAGCGCACAAGCCACAAACCGCAACTCAGCAAGTGCCCAATGCACAAAAAACATTCCATGCAAAGCTCCCAATTGTCCAATACATAACTAAAACAATGCCGTGTAGTGCACCCCAACAAAACAGACCAGACCAAACGAATTAATATTAATCCCAAACCACAGACGCCTATGTATACCTTCGAAAGGCAATATGCTCAATTTATTAGTCCCTTCCTCGATAACCCAATGCCGATTTGTTAATACCATGAGTATATACGCTAGATGCTTATATCAAAACCCTCAACTTCATACATTACTTCGTATACCCATCTCATCCAAACCTCCACACGAGTCCAGACTTGCACATGAGTAATTTATACCACAACTCCCCTATCGCTCCATCCATCCTTTCCCTTCCAAGCCCAAACCCAAAATGCGACTCCAACACCCACACTCCCTGCCATTCCCCAGAAAGTCCCCGCATAACAGCTTTGTCCCCAGCAAAGTACTCCATCACCAAGGAATTCCTTCCATAACCCCTCGGCAACTTTCTGGTAGACTTGACTATAGATCACACCCCAGAGCGTAGCACCTAGTGCTGGAACCATTGCTACGATTCCCCAGTTGGTTCCGAAGTTTTCAACACCCCAGATGACCGTCACGATTAAAGGAGTCAGGGAGAATAAAGCGCCGTAACCGGACCCGATGAGAGTAGAAATAATCCAGAAGCGGTCCGCGTGGTTTTGGCAAATTCCTGCAGCCAGTAGGATATCCCCTAGAAGGATTAGGAGAGCGGACAAGATGAGGAATGTTATACGGGATATTGTGAAGCGAGATCTAGGTTGTGGTGGGAGAGAGGCGAAAGAATTTGACAGAGAACCGAAATGATGTGTTATAGGAACCGGAGCCAATATATCTGTGAGGGTACCAAATAGGATACGAGCGATGGTTGATGTAAGTGCAACAACTGAAACATGTGTTGCTGCGGAAGTAGGATTGTGGATTGTAGGTGGATTAAGCGTGCCGATTATCGTGCCCAAATTCGTGATAAACGACTCGCCTGGTCCCGAGACGAAGAAAAATCCAATGGCTAACCACCACATTGTATGATCTTTAAGAAATCGTCTTGTTTCCTCGTTTAATAACCAAGTCTTCTTTCTCGCTTCTTCATCCTCCTCATCCACGCTACCTCGCTCTTCTCCATTCAAAGTACCATATTCTCTCCTGGTATATCCTTCCTCCTCCCCAAGTAGCCCACTCCTCTCCAATTCCTCAACAGCTTCTTCAATCAACTCATCCTCATCCACAATCTTCAACAACCCACATCCAATAATTCCCACCACAAGAAGTGTAACAGCCAAAAACCAAAAGAACCTCCCCACATCAACATCTCCCCTTTGACCGTCTCTCCCCCTCTCATACAATATCTTCTCCCCCACCTGACTCTGCCACATCCCACTCAATCCAAACGCTGCAATTGGGCATGCAAGTGCCAGGCCTCTATATTTCGATTTCCCAAAATTCTTCGCACACGCCGTCACCGCACTAATATACATACAAGTCGTTGCCATCCCAATGATCATGAATGCAATCACCATCCATATAATTGGCCATCCTCTTTCCGTAACATATCCCTCTATATCTTTCTCTCCACTCTTATATGTAAGTGCCGCCAATCCATATCCGGCTCCAAACATAATTCCCGCCCCGAGAGACAGTGGCGCAGGTCCAACCCGATCGCACAGATATCCAAATACCGGCACTGGCAGGTACATTGCCAATTCCGCCGCGATTATAACAAGATTGACTTGTAATTGTGTATAATGTAATCGCGATTGAAATAAATGGCCATAAAGCGAATAAGCGGTGATGGAACCTGCGCAGAGACAAGAGAGAATGGCGGAGGCGTAGGAGGTATAGCGGATCATATCTTGTTTACGAGCCTTTTGGTCGCGGAAAGCAGAGGAAGATTCGGATGGTGATCGTAGGGATGAGGATGGGGAGGAGGATCGAAGGAGAAGGGTACGACTTGTGGGCGCCATGGTTTCGATGGGTGATGGGCCCGGGCTTGTGTAGATGTCTATGTTAGATACGAGGGCATCGAGTGAGTTCTGAATAAAGGTGTACTCTAGAGAGTTGGAATCCAAAGGTATTAGGGATTGAATCGAGGAATACCGTAGATTCAAATTAAAACAATTCAACAGGTTCGAATTAGATGAATTTGGTGAAGTATGTTGTGATTGTTGTGATATTATGACTCCCGAGGTCTCTGAGCTTGGAGCGTGGATGATCTCTCAAACGCGACTTCGGGATCGGCTTACGCCATTAGGCAAAGTAAGAAGTTGAATTCACTCAAGATGTTAGAGTTGAAATACATGACTGTCCTAGGTATCTTGATTTCAATTCAAACCTCGTTTCTTATCTGTAATATTTCCATCTCTATCTCCATCCCCATCTTTTGACATTCTCTAATTTCACACACAAAGCAGATTTATTGCTGCAGATGACGTCTGAGTGAATGTGTACCTAGGTATTCGGTATTACTTCGGTAAGCTGAATTTGGTCCTACAAGATCGGAATCTGATAAGTTCATGATGTGATAATAGGTACCTACCTAGGTACTCTCATCTTGTCACAGCAATTGAATCAAGTGAGATTTTTCAAGCTTAAAAATGTTGAACTTATGTATTCAAAAGGAACAATCGCTCCATAATCGCGAGAGCGGGGAGAATATTAATACTAAATGCAGCCTCTTCCTCGCATTTTCTAACCTTCCAGCATTTAACGCTTCTATAACGGTATCTCATCAAAAGGTATCAAGCTGAACGCCCCCAAAATTCCCAATGTACCAAGTCTATATCAAAACCCTCCGGCGCCAAAAGATGCTTGGATCTCGCATTCCATTCCGATTGTCTATTCCATTAACTTATTTAATCTTCCTACTTTTAATGTACCCTATCTCTATGCTGTAACAAGTGCAATCTCCTCCTTTCATCTGCTTCCCCGGAATGTGCATGTGATGGTGGATGCAACGGTGTGAATCCCATACTAGAGAATGGGTTTCTTCTCAAAAATCCTGGTCCATGATGGTGTCTATGCGTATCCGCGTGTGAATGGGAATTTGAGAGTGAGTGTGAGAGTGAGTGTGAGTGTGGATGGCCTCCGTCCAATGGCTGTTCGTGCGGTGTACTTGGGCCAGTACTTGCATGCAATGTCGGACTTGGTGGTGCTGAAATGGCAGATTCGTAATTAGGCAGTGCTTCGGTATAACTCATTCCTCTTACAGGGGTTTTGAGGGCCGTAGTATAGGAAGGAACTTTGGTTAAATCTCCCATTTCATTATAATCCAAATGTTCAGGAGTATGGTATCCGCTGCTCATTGTGGTACTAGTGGCATCTGGATGATGATCGTCGTTAAAACTTCCTCGTCTACTAAGAGGATTACTTCTTGCAGTCGCTGAAGAGGCGGAATGGCCATGGTGTGAATCAAAATAGCCTCCTTGGTGATCATCATTGTGGTGAGGAGTATTTCCTCCAGATCCAGATCCTCCATATCGTCTTAAGAAGCTATTCCTGCCAGAATTCAAATTGGTATTTAAATTTTGAAGCCTAGATGACAATGCTGCAGGGGGGACGGCGCCTGCTGGATGATGAGATTCTGAGGAGGCAGATAGATTCTCTGATGAACCTGCTCGAGACTGGGCGTAAAACGGAGTGTTCATTCCAGATTGCGGCATAGGGGTCATGAGTCCAGATTGATCCATGTCGGCGTAAAGTTGATCCAATACGTGCTCTCCATAAAGAGGCGGTGCATGTGCTGATACTGCAGTTGATTGAGTACTGGTTGTTGGTGTCTGGTCCACCAAAGCACCTTCGGCAGTTAATGGCATATTAGGAGAAATGAAAATTGTGACTGGTAGCGTTGCGCGGAGCTATATTTGATCAGTATTTTTTGCATGGATTAAAGAAAAGGGAGTCATACCTCTGAAATATGCCCATCTGGGTTGTGTAATGCAATGTTGAATTTGACCTTGTGGCGAATTTTGATACCGTGTACGTCCACATCTTGTATGCATCTGCTCAACCTTTTTGGCAATGGCATGAATTCAGTCATTTTGAAACCATCTTGTCCGCTGTCGTCAAGCATATCTTGATAATGCTCTTCTTCATTAAGTTCAAAGGTCCAAGCATCCACATCTCTCGAGTTTTTCCAATATCTATCCGAAGTCGTAGATGTTCCTGGGAGAACGAATTCTTGTACTTCGATCAAATGACACTTTATCTTGCCGATTTTTAATCCTTTCAACAAGGAGGTGAATCTCATCTCGATGGTGATTGCAGTACCAAATACTATAGCCTTTTGTGGTATAACCAGTTGATATTCAATTTTGTTTGGCCAAACATTCTCGACTGTCATGGCGTGAGCCAATTCCAATGCCGAAGGGTCCAAAGTTCGAACGATTCGCACCGGTTTCCAAGCATGTAAATCGTATGCCAATTTTCCTCTAGCGACTGTTGCCTTCAATTTGTAAATGATGTGGCTGTCATTCAAACCCTCTACACTTTCTGACATGGATCCTGGAATGACGAGTTCGAATGGCCACTCATAATTTCCTGCTGGTAAAAGCAATCCCTTCGAGGAAGAACCAGGCCCTGCTCCACCCACAAATGGCGCCCATCTGTGAATGAAAATCTCAGTAGTTCTGTCGACTCGATTATTCGAAATGCCGGTAGGTGTGACTCGCTGATCATTCCACCTGCATGTGGTAGTTAGTTTTTCAACCCTTGCATGTGTTGAAATACTTTGGAAAAACTCACCCAACTTTCAATTGCCCAGTCATACGAAGATGCACATCTTCCACTTTTAAAGCAGCTGGCAGGCATAAAACTACTGTTCCCTTGAGCAATTGACTCGATGCTTCATTTTCACCTCCTCGAAGTACGATAATTTCCTCGTCAAGACTGCAAAATGTCAGTAAATTATGCGGAAACCAAATCGTACTTATATTGTAACATACCGTATCTCGAAAAGTGTCGAAACACCTCTTCCAGTAACGCCTCCAAAGAAATTAGGCATAACGTCCTATTAACTCGTATATTGGTCGTATGCCAAATGAGAAATAATGATTCAAGAGTTGTTTGGCGTCAGTGGGAAAGACAGAATCCCCCGACCGTTTCGTGTGCTTAAGATATTGTAGCAAAGTTGTAAAAGAGTGAGCTCCGAATATTGAGAAATACTTATACTTCACTCGTATCGGCGACTTCCTTTCCAAAGCGGTTACCAAGGAAATGTGTGAAAGTAGTAGTGCTAGTTGCGAATCGCTCTTTCTGTTCTGCAGCCAATATACTGCGCAGGTATATATTAAAGAACAATGACCATATGAGTATAAAAAAGATTTAAAAAAGAAATCACAAATTATGACCTCTTCTTTTAGTTATCTTTCCTCTAGTCCTTCTTCGTATTTTGTATATCAAAGATTTCGTCCTTACCCTATTGTTACTAGTATATTTGTCGCAATCTCTCTTTCTCTCTCCTTTCTTCGGTATTGAGGTACTCTTTTGCGTACTCTTCCCTCCATCCAATTCCCAATCCCACTTCAATAATCCAATGACCAGTCAATAATCCAGTGGCTCAGGCGCAATTCACGAAAATCCACACAGTCAAGCTGGGTAGGCGTGGGTACGAAGTAGATCAAAGTGGCGCTTCCGCACGTCACAAATCGGAAGGGGCTACGGTTTCTTGGTATGAAGTGGATATCTTCTAGTGGGGGTCACCTTCTTAGGAGAAAACCTTAGGAGAAACTTTTTTGCTGATGTTCGAGAACTTTTTTGTTACCCTTTTCTTTTCGTTGGTGTATCAAAAGAGATTCAAAAGTGCCGATACAGTCGTATCCGTAAAAATTGGAGACATTCAATCAAACAGACACACAAATATAGATTCGGACTTTCTCTCCTCACAAGTGGTAGCTAATGATGATGATGATGATGATGATGATGATGAATGATATTTGAGCTACCTCATATATACTTTTTCGACTTCCGAGGTTCTTACCGTCACAGTCCCAAACTATGATATGATTGATCGATGGTGGTGGACTGGCGAATATTTCGATTATCAAATGATAATGTGATAAAGACTACCCAACAGGCAACTTAGCTACCCAGCACACTAAGCCTAGGATAATTCAGTTCCCAGGGCTGAACGAGTTTTCTTCCGGTCCTCGGATGTGTACCGGGTATATCTACGAAGATTTAACATTTGAAGACTCGACATCGGGTACTGCAGGAAGGTGGATATTAATAGGAGTATCTACCTAGGTCCTAGTATTACGGTTGTAAGTACCTAGTAAGCAGGGCAAAGTCTAAACTCTGGAAGGTAACCCGTCAAGATAGCTGCAGCATGTACTGTACTGTATTCATGAAAGTCAGCTCAGATCAACCTCAATTCCGAAACGTGCTGAACCTCGATGTAACTTGACGCACCTGCTAGCTCTACTTTGACACGTGAAAAGGGGGTGATTCGAGCGAGGTGCGAATACTCACTCGGTAGGTATAAGCATCTGATAAGGGACAGGAGATCCCCTAGATATGGCATGATCAAACCTCATGAGCATGAGCGATATCTCAGAAATCGAATGACTTCCACATGATAACAACTTTCACGGCGTAACCAGAAATCATCGGTTGTGAGGGACGGGTAGTTGAAAACAGGGTATAAACGCCAATGAGTACCGATAGCATCAATCTCCTTTTCTATTATTCGATAAGGATGAGTCGTAAAGAGCGGGTTCTGATTCAGGATGATTCAGATGCATACTTCTAATTCGACGCTACTGTATTGTTTCGACCTAAGTTCCAACCCTGATCAACAAACTATAAACGTTTTTCTATAAAAAAAAATCGAATAATCTGAATAAGCTCGATAAGTTCCGGTATTTGACCTTTCTTTGACAGTGGACACGGACGGAAGCGCCTGCATCAAATCTTTCTCACACGTTTCGCTCTTTATCTAGCAAAAGTTAAACAACCAACACTGCATATG